GGTAGAGCGCTAGCCTTGAGCTGAAGAGTTGAGGGACAGCAGCCAGGCCCAGAGTTCAGGCCCCACAACTGGCAAAAAAAAAAACAACCAAATAATATGGGTATATAGTCTTTATCACTATTCAGATTTCCTAGCATAGACCCTGTGTTCACTTATGGAATGCTGCCCTAGTAGCCTGAAGAAGATTTGGTAACATGATAACATATCATGTCACTTTTTTTTTTTTTTTTTGGTTGGTCATGGGACCTGAACTCTGGGTCTGGCCGCTGTCCCTCAGCTCCTCACTCAAGGCTAGCACTTTACCACTTGAGCCACAGCGCCACTTCCGGCTTTTTGTGCTTATGTGTGGTGCTGAGGAATCGAACCCAGAGCCTCATGCATGCAAGGCTGCAAGCACTCTGCCACTGAGCCACCGTCCCAGCCCCTCATGTGACTTCTATAAAATCTTAAAAAGAAATTCTAGAGCATAATCTTGTCCCAAGAGTTTTGAATAAGGCACTAGGATTGTGTGTGACTTGCTTTTCTGACCAACACTAATCATTGCTGCATTGTTAATATGTGGTGGCGGCAGCTCGGGAGTTTAGGTATTACTCTCCCTAGAGATTGTAGTGGTAAAACTTAGGTATAACCTTCAGTCCGGGAAGAGTAAAGACATTACTTTATAACCCAGAGTCTCACCCTGTCTTTGCACCTGGTCTAGTCACTTCAATAGTTCAGTTGCTGGTAAGTTGACAGTCAATATTACCAATTTAGCAGTTCCTATAATAGTATAGTTTAGTGAGAAGATACAATGTTGTCTTGTTGGCATACTGGATGTAATTTGTGAGGAAAATATTCTTGGTTCTGTGATGGTCTTCTTTTTTTTCTGGTATGTTGTGAGGCTTGAACTCAGGGCCAACGCGCTATTCCTGAAGTCTTTTTTGTTGTTGTTGTTGGTTGTGCGGCTTGAACTCCAGGCCTGGGCACTGTCCCTCAGCTATTTAGCTCAAGGCAAGTGCTCTACCACTTGAGCCACAGCACCATTTCCAGCTTTTTCTGTTTATGTGGTGCTAAGGAATTGAACCCAGGGTTTCATGCATGTGAGGCAAGCACTGTCCCACTGAGCCACCTTCCCAGCCCCCTTCTCAGCCCTCCTAAGGTCTTTAAGCTCCAGGCTAGGATTCTACCCCTTGAACCATAGCACCACTTCTTTCTGGCTTTTTCTGTTTTATGTGGTATGGAACCCAGGGCTTCATGTGTGCAAGGCAAGCACTACCACTAAGCCATATTCCCAGCCCCATGTAATGGTCATTTTTATAGGTTTTATTATATGCAAATCATTTTACTTTCTGATTATGGGAGCTCAGGGTCATCTAATAAGAAAAAGGGTGATACGGGTTTATAGTTAACATTGTAGCAGTCTAATTTTGGCTTTTTCTGGTTTGTAATTATTTTGCCACATGTAAATAGAGTTTCAAATAACATTTTTAAAGTTAAATATTAATTGAACTGGAATTATGTTTTGATGAATGGTATGTAGTATGACTAAAGTCTAAGGTGCTTCTTATTTGTTTATGTGGTTAGCCAGTTCCAACATTATTTGTTGAAATAAGCCAATCTTCCTGATTTCAAATGCCATAGTTATCATGTACAATATTTTGTGTTTTGGTTTGTTATACATTTTAGTGTTTGATAAGAGTTGAGGGAAAACACTGTCTCTACAAATGCCTTGACATGTTTTATGCATGATTCTAGGTACATAAATAAGAATTAGATTAGATTTGTATTAAACTCACATTAATTTGGAGACTATTCATGTCTGTGTAATGGTGTTTTCTGTGTTTGGAACATGTATCTCCACTTGATCATGTTTCATAGATTTTTCCATGAAAGTATATGCTCTTATAAAGATGCCTATCAGGCTGGGTGCTGGTGGCTCACACCTGTAATCCTAGCTACTCAGGAGGCTGAGATATGATTGCGGTTCAAAGCTAGCCTGGGCAGGAAGGAAAGCCCATGAGACTCTTATCTCCAATTAACCACCAGAAACCTGGAAGTGGCACTGTAGCTCAAGTGGTGGAGCACTTTCCTTGAGCTGAAGAGTGCAGGGACAGCACACAGGCTCAGAGTTCAAGCCTCACAACTGACAAAGAAAGAAAGAAAAGAAAGATATGCTTATCAGGAAGTTCTTCAAAGGGATAAGTTACAGGTGCTTCTCTCAAAGGACTGAAAACATGTAGCATGGGGTTAGTGGTTCTGCCCAGTGGAAGAGTGCTTGCAGGCCCTGGGTTCTAGTCCTAGCAACTCGGGCAAATAAAAACTACACTATGTATGTGTCTTGTGTGTATGCATACGTATATGTGTGACTTTAGAAATTAGTTTCTAAAGTCCCTTTGCCATTTAGTTTAATAAGTAACTTAAATATGAAGCCTTTAAAACTATATAAAACCAGTCCTCAAATGACAATTCCTGCAAAAGAGATTTTTGTTCTTTTCACCCATAATTAAGATCATGTGATACTATCAAGTAACTGTGAGATCTGGCTTTGATAGCTTAAACTTTGTACAGAACTTTAAAATTATGGTTATTCAAGTGCTTTTTATTTTCCAGGATTCTTTTGTTGTTGTTGGTGGTGGTGGTTGTGGGGCTTGAACTCTGGGTTTGGGTGCTGTCCTTCAGCTCCTCAGCTCAAGGCAAGTGCTCTATGGCTTGAGCCATAGTGGCATTTTTGGTTTTGTAGTGGTTTATTGGGAGATAAGAGTCTCATGGACTTTCCTGCCCAGGCTGGCTTTGAACTGTGATCCTCATATCTCAGCCTCCTAAGTAGCTAGGATTACAGGCGTGAGCCACTGGTGCCCGGCTCCAGGATGTTGTTTCATATGGAAGGCAAAAGGTTAGAAATACAGCTATTCATTTTCTGTAGTCTACTTTTTATTTTAAATGTGTAACTTTAAAAGTATTTTTCTCAAGCTCTATTTACACGGTCAACATTTTATGGTAACTATGGTATAACTATTCTTGAGACTTTTTCCCCTTGGGTTGTTTGGCTCAAGACTTCAGGCTTGCTATGGCTCTAATACTTGAGCTGAACCTCCAGTCCTGAGGCTTCCATTTTAACACTATATTCTAAAAAAGTGGTAGCTGAGATACTCTTTAACTCAACTGTTTTTCTTTTTTATTCTCCAGAAGACCTATGAACATAGGATGCTGCCACCAAATCTACCTCCTGAATTTGTCTCACTCACCAATGAGCAGTGCACTTCCGAATTGGAGCAGAATGTCTGGAGACTGTTGAAAAACTCTGAAGAACACAATTGACACATGATGACCTAACAGGGATTTTTTTTTTTAAGCCTGCCAAGATACATATTAGAGAATGTGTCAGTGTTGGTTGTGAATGCTGCAGATAACTGCAAGCAGACTTTATCTTTTTCTTTCTGAAGAATTGGTGTGACTTTCTAGCCAGACAGAGTTTTCCATTGTGCTCCTGAAGATATTAATGGAATACAGACATGGCCACTCCAGACGAGAGGCGGGTCAATACAGAGTACGCTGTGTCTCTGCTGGAACAGTTGAGACTGTTTTATGAGCAGCGGTTGTTCACAGACATAGTGTTGATTGTCGAGGGCACAGAGTTCCCTTGTCATAAGATGGTTCTTGCAACCTGTAGCTCCTACTTCAGGTAAGTACTTTAATCTTATTTTACAATCAAATATAAAATATTGACCTAGTTGAATGTTTTAATAGGAATGTTTTAAAATGTTTAAAATTTTCAATGCTCAGTTTTCTTAAGTTTTCAGTTCAGCAGTACTTATCGTTTCCTTGTATGTATAGTCATAGGACAGGTGAAAAGAAGGTTTTTTTTTTTTGGGTCCCGTCGTGGGGCCTGAACTCTGGGCCTGGGTGCTGTCCCTCAGCTCTTCAGCTCAAGGCTAGCGCTCTACCACTTGAGCCACAGCGCCACTTCCGGCTTTTTTCTTTTTGCTTATGTGGTGCTGAGGAATTGAACCCAGGGCCTCTGGCATGCAAGGCAAGCTCTTTACCACTGAGCCGCCTTCCCAGCCAGAAGGTTTTTTTTGTTTGTTTGTTTTTTTAATTTTTATTTTGTGTTGGTGAGAGGGCTTAAACTCAGGACCTGGGCACTGTCCTTGAGCTTTTGCACTAGAGACTAACGCTCTACCACTTTGAGCTACAACACTACTTCGGTTTTCTGGTGGTTAATTGGAGATGATAAGAGTCTCCTGGACTTTCCTGCCTGGGCTGGCTTCAAACTGCAACCCTCAGATCTTAGACTTCTGTGTATCTAGGATTTACAGGTATGAGTTACTGGCATGAGGCTGAAAGGAAAATTTTTGTTTTGTTTTGTGCTGATCTTGGGGTTTTGAACTCAGGGCCTAAGCCTTGTTGCTGAGTTTTTGTTCAAACCAGTTCTCCATCATTTAAGCCATAGCTACAGTTCGGGCCTTTTGGTGGTTAATTGTCTTTCTTTCCTGCTCAGACTTCAAACTGTGATCCTCAGATCTCAGCCCCCTGAGTAGTTAGGATTACAGGAGTAAAACACTAGTGCTTAGCTGAGCCACTGAGCCACCTTCCCAGCCCTCCCAAATGTTCTTAACTATATTTTCCTCTCAGATTTCAGGGTCATTAACATGTAATACTGCTGTGACTTAAGAAATTCACTTATTTATTCATTCATAGTAGTGGAGATGAACTCAAGGCCTCACACTTATTGGGCAAGTGCTGTGCTACTTGAGCCATGGCACCAATCCAGAAATTCTGCCTGTTGAATTACATTAGGAAGGATTACCCTCTTCCTTTTGGATTATCAGTGCTGTCCTACCAAAACCCGTATGTAGTTTTGAATAGTAGTTTACTGTTCATTTTGGACCCAAATTAGAAACCCACTTGTGAACTGCTCAGCACTTGAACTATGGTGCTTCATTCTGTTGTACTGTTATGTAATTCCAAGAAGCACAGTTACATTCTGGGAATCTTGTTAGTGTGGCATTGTAAAGTGTCCTGCATAATTTTAGGAAATTCTTGTACTCTTTTTCCTTTATTGACATAGATTTTACCTACCGTAAAGTTACTAATGTTTATAAATACATAGTTGGTCCCTTTACCAGTACGTTCTTTGTATCAACCAACTACACATCAGACATACTTGGGAAAATTTTTCATATCTACTGAATAGAGTTTTCTTGTCTTTATTCCCTAAGCAATATAGTCTTTACTGCTTAGGATGTATTTACATTGTTTTCAGTCTAGTGATGGCTTAAAGTCTTGAGGATAGAGTATAGGTTTCATACAAGTAGCCATTTATATAGGGGACTACAGTACCCTCAGGTCTTAGTCTCTCCTGCAAGTAGTCCTTAGCAGATACTATATGATGTGATAAATTTAGTACTCCTACAAAACTGTGTGCCATTTCTAGCATCTAACTGAGCTCTCTGTCACCTTGTGTCCATTTACTGTCACTCTTATCCTTGCCTGTAGCTCTAGGTAACTACTAATCTACTTGCTGTCTCTGTTTTTCTTTTCTGACCATTTCATACAAATGAATTCATATAATATATGGTCTTTTGTGTCTGGCATCTATGTTTCTGTCTGACCATTGTATTTGAGGCTCATTTAAGTGTTTCATCAGTAGTTCTGTTTTATTCCATTGTATGTAAGTAATCAGAAAGGCAGAGTGAGTCTGGCATTGAATTGTGTACTATTTTCTGTTGTCTGTTGGACTAGTCTTCCTTATCAAAAAGGACCCTGCATTAATCTTCCTGTGTTATGTCATTTCTCTCTGTAGTGCTACATTTGGTTTACCTTGAATCCTTCAGCTCTGTTTGTGTCTTTTATAGGGCCATGTTCATGAGTGGACTCAGTGAGAGCAAGCAGACACATGTGCACCTGAGGAATGTGGATGCCGCCACCCTCCAGATCATAATCACTTATGCCTACACGGGGAACCTGGCGCTCAGTGACAACACGGTGGAGCAGCTGTATGAGACAGCCTGTTTCCTACAGGTAAAGCTGCTCTTCCTCAGCGATACCTCTGAGGGTGTATATTGTGTCAGGAAGTCCTGGTTTACTAGTGACCTGTGTCTGTAAGGTTTTTACTGGGTGTTTTATAAGGTATGAAATGAAAGCGGCATCTAACTCCCATTTCCTGTATGGAGAACAGTGTTACTTCCTTTTTCCCATTTCTCCCTTCTTTGACCCATTACACTAAAATAAAACCTTGCTAAATCTGAAAAAAAAAGTCGGGGGGAGTGTGAAATGAAAAAGAATCTGATAATGTAGTCAGCTGGCAGACTAAGTTACTTTTATGACAGGTGAGCTGGGTGTTGGTGTGGCATGCCTGTAATCCCAGCACTGGGGAGGCTGATGCAGGAAGTTTGCCATCTTGAGGCCAGCCTGCACTACATAAAGGAAGACTCATTCAGGCCAAAATGTCATACTGGTTTCTTATTTTGCCTATTATGCCTGGGAAATTTAAATATTTACAATGGTTATGGTAAGTTATATTATGCTGTTTAGTAGTTAAATAATATTGATGGTTGTTATATTTATGTCTGATTAACTTTTTTGTCAGTCGTAGGGCCTGAACTCTGGGCCTAGGCGCTGTCCTTCAGCTCAAGGCTAGCGCTCTACTGCTTGAGCCACAGCACTACTTCTGGCTTTTTCTGCTTATGTGGTGCTGAGGAATTGAACCCAGGGCCTCATGCACGGGAGGCAAGCACTCTACCACTGAGCCACCTTTCCAGCCCTGTCTGATTAACTTTTTTAAAATTAATTTTATTGTCAAGGTGATGTACAGAGGGGTTACAGTTACATATGTAAGGTAGTGAGTACATTTTTTTGAGGTATGTGCTTTTTACTCCTAATTTTTCAGCATTTTCACATATATATATATTGGGTGTGTGTGAAAATACCGTACAGAGGAGTTACAATTACATGGGCAAGGTAATTGAGCATTGTTGCCTTCTCCTTTGTTTTCCCTCCCACCCACCCCCAAAGTTGTAAAGTTCGTTTTTGACATCTTGTACATCTTGTTGCAGTGGGTCCACCTGTATCCCTATTTAAACAATTTGTTTTTTCCCTTCCCCTCCGCAAATTATACCAATATCAAATACAGTGAAAACAGAGGTTATACCGTGGCGGGGGGGGGGGGACATACAAAGAAATCATCTTATAAAGATGTTAGAAACAATCGCAAGAAAGAAAAAAACATTTGAGTCCTTAGCTCTTGGTTCATTTCGCCTAACATCATCAACTTATCTGACCATTTCTGCTTGTCAGTAGTAAGTACATTTCTTGTCAAACATTGTTACCACCCCTTCCCTTTTCTTCCACTTTCCCTTTCCCTGATTAAGGTTTACTTTCTATTTTCCTATCATTTCTGCCTCCCTTTCTCCCTCGGACTTCTCCCTCCTCCCTCCTCCCCTCTATCTTTTGCCAGTACTGAGGCTTGAACTGAGGGCCTGGGTGCTTGTCCCTGAGCTTTTTTGCTCAAGGCTACTACTCTATACCCCTTGACCTGCAGCTCCACTTCTTACTGGGAGATAACAGTCTCACAGACTTTTTTTTTTTTTTTTGGTCGGTCATGGGGCTTGAAGTCTGGGCCTGGTACTGTCCCTCAGCTCTTCAGCTCAAGGCAAACACTACCACTTGAGCCACAGTACCACTTCTGGTTTTCTGATGGTTATTTGGAGATAAGAGTCTCTTGAACTTTCCTGCCTGGGCTGGCTTTGACGTGCGATCCTCAGATCTCAGTCTCCTGAGTAGCTAGGACTATAGTTGTGAGCCACCAGTGCCTGGCCTCACAGATTTTTTTTCCCCAGTCTGGCATTGAACCATGGTCCTTGGATCTCAATCTCTTTAGTAGTTAAGATTTATAGGCCTCTTTTCAGATTTTAATAGTCATATTATTTTCATCGTTTTGTCTGAGACATGTACTCAAACTTAGAATCTGACTCTGTGCTCTACCACCTGAGCACCATCTCCAACCTCAGGAGTTATTGCTTTTTCTTTCCCCTCATTTCCTTTCTTGGAATGACACTTTCTACTTAGAAACAAAGTTTTAGGCAGGGTACAGGGTGGGGTGTGTCAGTGCAGGAACTCAGGAAGTGTTGAGGCAGGAGGAGGTACCTATCAAGACCCTGTGTCAAAAAACACTACAAAAAATGAGAAGGTTTATCTAAATGGAAACCTTCAAAACAAAGTTTAAAGGGTTTTAGAAACAGAGTGGATGGTACTCATTAGCTACTTTGGACACAGTGGATGATGTCTGGTAAGTATTGAGGACACAGTGGATGATAGGTACTGAGGTCACAGTGGATAATACCAGGTAGGTACTGAGGATACAGTAGATGATAGCTGGTAGGTAGTGAGGATACAGTAGATGATAGCTGGTAGGTACTGAGGTCTGCCCTCCATGTGAATGACAGTGGTGGGATGCTTACTTGGGTATAGCCTAGGAACCAGAGCATAGTTAATTCCTTTTTACATTGCTTCCCTCCTTGTTAGTCATACACTGGTCTTCTTGTGTGTGGTCATTTCTGGTCACTCTCTCATAGTTCAGAATTAGTAGCCTTCACTTCCCAAGGCCGGACTTGGAAGAGAGTACTGTCTGTACTAAGCATTCTTTATGGCTAACACGATCACATTTTTCAGGTGCTAAAAGGTTTTGGTAAGGTTGTAATCTTTCTTGCCATGTTAATGAATTCTGTATGTGTAATGTGTAGGCTTGCCTCTTGGGATATCAGTGAGTGCTCCTTGGCTTTCGTTGCTGTAACCAAGTTGAAGCGATAGTATTTTTAGGTAGCAGATATACTGACAATTCACTTTGATCCTCAAAGTGAATCCTTAATCATTTAAGGTAGACTTTATATGAGAGAAGACAGGCTTAGAGAGACGCCATTTGCCTGTAATTATACAAGTACTGACTGGCCAGTTGAGGTCTTGGATTGAAATGACCTGACTCTTCACTGTAAGTGGCTTTTAGTTAACCAGGTGGTGAATGAGGTATGGATGAATAAATGTGATTAGTGGATGGCACTTCTGAGTCAGCTGAGATGTGCCTGCTTTCTCAGGAAAAAAGAAATCTGTAGAAGAGAAGGCTTGGGTGGTTCAGATGCATCATTTTAGTGTAGGTAAGCTAGGGCTCTAGACATAGCACAGTGGTAGAACACTTGTCTAAACACCTAGTGTTCTGACTACAGTCCCCAGCACACTGAAACTGACCAAAGGAGGGTTGCACATTGCTCTGATGACTTGCATCTTCCCTCTCTATATAAGAGTGGCAATAACAATTCTTCTTTTTGGGGGGGGGGTTCGGTCGTGGAGCCTGAACTCTGGGCCTGGGCGCTGTCCCTCAGCTCAAGGCCAGTGCTCTACCACTTGAGCCACAGTGCCACTTCCGGCTTTTTTCTTTTTGCTTATGTGGTGTTGAGGAATTGAACCCAGGGCCTCAGGCATGCAAGGCAAGTGCTCTACCACTGAGCCACCTTCCCAGCCCCAAGAACCTTGTTTTTTAATGCCTAGAAAAGTTAACTTCCCTATGAATTTCCTTATGCTTTAGGCTGTTCAAATGTTTTCAATGCTTGCTTAATACTTTACTACTGTTTAAGTAGGCCAGTTAAGTAAGGTATTGATCAAGGAAATGCAAACCTCTACTAGTCTTAATTATTTTGGGGAAACTTTTCTGTTAGCCTAAACAGATGTATCTTAAGTATAAAGTTCTCAGAAAGGGAAAGATGACACAGGACCCTGCATCTCACCTAAAATGTGGGGTGGGGTTATGGCTCAGGGTAGACACATTCTTGAACTTGCATTCAGGGCCTCTGTCCCCACTGCAATAATTTGTTGTGTGTTGATTTATTTGTTGGTCTCCCATGTCCTTATCAACTTTCTTCCCTTTATTATTTTAGGTAGAAGATGTGCTGCACCGTTGTCGAGAGTATTTAATTAAAAAAATAAACGCAGAGAACTGTGTGAGATTGTTGAGTTTTGCTGACCTCTTTAGTTGTGAGGAACTAAAGCAGAGTGCTAAAAGGATGGTGGAGCACAAGTTCACGGCTGTGTGTCACCAGGAAGCCTTCATGCAGCTGTCCCATGACCTGCTAATAGACATTCTTAGCAGTGACAATTTAAATGTAGAGAAGGAAGAGACCGTTCGAGAAGCTGCTATGCTTTGGCTGGAGTACAACACAGAGTCACGGTCCCAATACCTATCTTCAGTCCTTAGCCAGATCCGAATTGATGCACTTTCAGAAGTGACCCAGCGAGCCTGGTTTCAAGGCCTACCACCCAATGATAAGTCTGTGGTGGTCCAAGGTCTTTATAAGTCCATGCCTAAGTTTTTCAAACCACGTCTTGGGATGACTAAAGAAGAGATGATGATCTTCATTGAAGCTTCTTCAGAAAACCCTTGTAGTCTTTACTCTTCGGTCTGTTACAGCCCACAGGCAGAAAAAGTTTACAAGCTGTGCAGCCCACCTGCAGATTTGCATAAGGTTGGGACTGTGGTCACCCCTGATAATGACATCTATATAGCAGGGGGCCAGGTTCCTCTGAAAAACACAAAGAGCAATCACAGCAAGACAAGTAAACTACAGACTGCCTTTAGAACTGTGAACTGCTTCTACTGGTTTGATGCACAGCAAAACACCTGGTTCCCAAAGACCCCAATGCTTACTGTCCGTGTGAAGCCGTCTTTGGTTTGCTGTGAAGGCTACATCTATGCGATTGGGGGTGACAGTGTGGGGGGAGAACTTAATCGGAGGACCGTAGAAAGATATGACACTGAAAAAGACGAGTGGACGATGGTAAGCCCTCTACCTTGTGCATGGCAGTGGAGTGCAGCAGTGGTGGTCCATGACTGCATTTATGTGATGACATTGAACCTCATGTACTGCTACTTCCCCAGGTCTGACTCCTGGGTGGAGATGGCCATGAGGCAGACAAGCAGATCCTTTGCCTCAGCTGCAGCTTTTGGTGATAAGATTTTCTACATTGGAGGGTTGCACATTGCTACAAATTCTGGTCTAAGACTCCCCTCTGGCACTGTAGATGGATCTTCAGTGACTGTAGAGATTTATGATGTGAACAAAAACGAATGGAAAATGGCAGCCAACATCCCTGCCAAGAGGTACTCGGACCCCTGTGTTCGAGCTGTTGTGATCTCAAATTCTCTCTGTGTGTTCATGCGAGAAACCCACTTAAATGAGCGAGCTAAATATGTCACCTACCAGTACGACCTGGAACTTGACCGCTGGTCTCTGCGCCAGCATATATCAGAGCGCGTGCTTTGGGACTTAGGCAGAGATTTTCGATGCACTGTGGGAAAACTTTATCCATCCTGCCTTGAAGAATCACCATGGAAACCACCAACTTACCTTTTCTCGCCAGATGGGACAGAGGAGTTTGAGCTGGACGGAGAGATGGTTGCACTCCCTCCTGTATAGTCAAGTTGGAGTAGTGCTGCTTGGTTCCGTTCCTTCACTAAGTGACAGGCTAGGAGAGGACCACATGGGGAGTACAAAAAATTCTATCTTTGATAAATTTTATTTTTATGCCCTACTTAATATTTGCTTCAGTATAATATATATCAGTGAGTCTCACAGGAAGATGTGCTTCCATAATAGGAGCTAGGTTAAGAACCTCTAAGTACTCTGAGAGCAGAGGGATGAACAGCTAATGCTGTTAGGCCTGTGCACGTACAGTTCAAAGTTCACTTAGAGAAGTAGCTTCCTTTCCAGTGTGGGACATCACAGACTATGCTGAGATTATTTAGTGTATCTCATTCCTGTGCTTTGTTCTGAAGTTCTGGAATACATTTTTCCAGTAACTAACCAGCTGCGCTTAACACTGATGTCCACATTTGTGTAGCAGTATTGTCCATGTCCTCTGCCATAGTTGAGAACACTCCGTAATTTTGTGGTATTATACAGGAAAGGTACGACTGCAGGACCAGTCTATCCAGTTAGGTGCATGTATCCTCTCTCCACTAACTTGTCTATCTAGAATACAGGTCGTCCAGTCAACTGGCCATGTACCAGGTACATGAACCCAGTTGCTGGGCTTGCAGTGAGAATTGTGCGGGTCTGTGGGGCTTTCATGATGAAGGTTTCCACCTCTTCTATGCGTTAGCACTGCTCATGCATAGAATTACCTGCTGCTGATGTAGTCCTCCATCTTCAAGATTGAGAGTGGGTTAACCAGGTCATTACATCCTAATTTAATAACAAGCATTACTGTAGAGTGATTGTGTGTAGGTATCTGTTAGCTGTCAGAGTGTGTTTTTTAAACCTGATGTGTGTGTGTCGGGTTAGGTGCCGTCTGCACTGGTATCTGCAGGAGGGCAGATGACTGGTGCCTGTGGCATTATCCCAGAAACCACTGGCAGTAGTAGCGCCCCCATGGATGTGAGCATGGGCGCTTGTGACCAACATCGCCGGCATGTCCAACTCTGTAATGTTCTCGCACTGTATTTTGAATGACATTAATTTATTAAATAAATTGTATATATTCAACATCTGTTTTTTTGTGTATCAGGGTGGGCTGCTTTTAGTTTGGTTTTGCTGGTACAGCTCAGGTAGCGGTATTGGTATCTTCAGGAGTTTGTGTGAGATGTATGTGTATACAGTAGTTTCCCTTCCTGCGCTCTGAACATACTACATGGAAAAAATGTAGAAATGAATTAATTCCTGGGTTTTAAGTTGTGGCCTCTCTGCTTGGGATTTGTGTTTCTGAGCAATGTGCCTATGCTGTGTGCTGCCCTTGGCCATTCCAGACTTCAGGTCTCTCATCTTCCTGTTCTTTGGTACCATTTTCTGTTAAAATTGTTACTTTCTTACTGAGCCTAATTTACAAGTTACAAAACTATCATAGATAACATGTGTGGAGGAAAACAGCATATGGGGGTTTGACATCCACAGTTTCAATAATACTCAAGACTGGGGCTCATGGGACTCACCTCCTGCCGAATAAAAGGATGAGGTGCTCATACTCCATAGGAGAAACAGTCTTCACAGGGATAGAACATCACCAAATCTGTACCTGCACCCACCACTACTGCCTCCTCTGCTATTTATTAGTCAATGGTCATTGGGACTGTTGGCATGACTTCTGGTGGAGCACCAGCCATGAGCAGGAAAAGCCTAGTGAGAGTGTTAAGACCTTGTGTTCAATGAAAAGGACATTCTCCATTCCCCTCTAGATGGAGGGGACAGTTCCTTGTTCATAGTTTTTCTACACTGCAGCCTATATGCAAGTGTGTTGATAAGAGGGCTTGAATTTGGAGCCTGTTCCTTAGCTTTTTCACTCAAAGCTGGCACTGTACCACTTGAGCCACACCTCTACTTCTGGCATTTTTTTGTGATTGAAGATAAAAATATCATGGACTTTGCTGCCTGGGCTATCTTCACTGGAGTGAAGATAGATGGCTGTCTGCTGTTAAAACCTGTTAATCATCTTAAAGTGCACATCAGTAGCACTAGTAAGTTCACACTATATTGTGACCATTGGGACTGTCCAGAACTCTTTTATCTTCTCGTCCCTTTCCCACTTCATCACTGGGAGTTGATAATAGAAGCTTCTGGGTGATGGGCTAGCCTTGGAAAATCTGAGCATTCTAGTTCATAGTGAAGGCCTAGGAGCTGTTGCCTTTGTCTTTTTGGAGGACTGAGGACCATTTTCCTGAGTCTGCCACTTCATTCTTTCCAGAAAGCTTATGTAATTATGCAGATGGACAGAACTTTCTGGAACTGCTAGATTTCCAGATGAGAGCTTTTTTGTCTGGATTTGGTCATCTGAGTTCCCTTGGGTATGCAGTTTTTCTTACCCTTAAGCCTACTTCCTGTGGTTCTCAATCTCCTTTCCCAGTTCAAGAGCTTGGTAAAGGAAGAAGAGCTTGAATGCACAGTGTTCTTTCTCCTCCAGAGTTGGTTTTTCTGTGTGATAGGGCATGTTGGTCACACATAACCACAAGTCCTCATGTGGGAAAGGAATGCTTTGTGTGGGTCTTGGTGTTCTTCGAATGCCTGATGGGTGTCAGAATGCTTATCCTCAAGCTCTTTTTTTTTGTCAGTCGTGGGGCCTGAACTCTGGGCCTGGACGCTCAGCTCTTTAGCTCAAGGCTAGTGCTCTACCACTTGAGCCACAGTACCACTTCTAAATGGTTTATTGGAGATAAGAGTCCATGGACTTTCCTGCCCTGCTGGCTTTGAAATGTGATCCTCAGATCCTCAGCCTCTTGAGTAGTTAGGATTACAGGCATGAGCCAAGTGCCAAGCAGGTCCTCCAGAGCCATTGCCACAGCCATGGGAATGTAGTAAGGGCCTGACAGTGACGATGTGCCTGCCTGGCTGAAACTGTTAATGGGCCAGGGCTTTTGCATTTCACTGATAGGTAGCAGCTTCTCTGCCTTTTGCCATGCTTAGATCCTATATACCCCTTCTTCAACAGGGACAGTTCAAAAGCAGATGGATCGCCATAGTAAGTCACCCTAATGCAGTTCATACTTCCATGTTCTTGGCAACCAGGTGAGAAGCTGAGGAAACACCTAGGAAGAAGAAATGGGCCTGTGGGCCTCCTCCCTGCATGACACTTTCTATGGCTGTCTCCTCTCTACCATACAACTAGTCACAGGATTGCCTGAACATCTATATCAGGTAAGCTTCATGCACACAAGCACTGCCCTTCAGAACCCATTGGAGTCTCCACTGGCAACAGCCAACAGCTTCGTTCATGTAGCGAGCTATTCTCTTCACCTCTTCCTTTTTTCTTGGTGGTTCAGGGGATTGGACTTAGGGCCTTGCACCAGGGGGAGGCACTGCACCACTTGAGCCACACCACCATCCACTTTGGGTGCTGATTATTTTCATGACAGGGTCTCACTTTATGCCCTGGCCAATGTGGGTTACAGTCCTCCACTTCCTTCCCCATGTGTTCCTGGGAAGGACAGGTGGGCACCATTGTACTCAGACACTACTACTTTTTGAAAGTTTGTATAGTTTCAGTTCTGGAAGTTCAGGGTTCTGGTGCTGGCATCAGCTCTGCCATGGTGAAGTTCATTCTCTGTGGCAGAGGCCTTGCAATGGCCAGTGCACATGTGAGGTCACATGGCAAAGGCAGAAGGTACAAACAACTCTGTCTTGAACACTTATCAGGTTCTCATGAGAATAGTATTGACCTCAGGTCACAGCCTAGTAACCGGATTCTGTTCAACATTCTCAGTGAGATTACTTTGCCTAGGCTGGCCTCAAACTCCCTCACTGTCCCCACCTCCCTAGCAGCTGGGATTATAGGTAAGCACTGCACCTGGCAGTTCTAAACTGTTGGTAAGGCAATGCCAAGAAGTCTAATGCACACCTGTGAATGCCTGTGCACCACCATCCACTCAGCTATGCCCACTATTTCATCAAGTGGCTCTTGTTTTCCCATGGCCACTTTGTTCCCGGAGTGCAGCCCCATCCAGGGACACATGGCATTTACAGTGTCTGAGTCCTGTCAACATGGGATAACATCAGGGACCACCTGAGGCAAGTGTGGTGGAGTCAAGAACAGAAAACACAAAACAACCCTGTTGTGCTTGAAAAGTACCTGAGGTAGGATCTGGTGATGGGGCTTCCCCACTCCCAGCCCTGTGTGGATCAGGTCAAGTCAGAAAGAACTGACTCCATTCCAGGCCCCTGGATGGTAAAGTCAGAAGTTCCCTGGTGCATCAGAAGAACAGCAAGTGGCTCCGCCCTGGGTATGACATGGACTGCCTGAACCATGGCATAGCTCAGCTCCCCTGTGAAGCTGTCGAGCAGGTGCAAGACAGCACCTGAAGGGACATATGACAACACTGAAGTCCTCAGGCCCAGGTGGAGTCCAAGCTGTCTGAGGGTAACACCAGTGATGGGAGAGGACATGGCTTGACTGGCCTCTTCGGTGCCTTGTGTGGCCCACGAGCTGAGGTCTCTGTGGGGAGCCAAGGGCAGTTACCACACAGTGCACCCCAAGGCTGGCATCTTGTTGCCAAGCTGGGCTACAGACCACACGGACAACATGCCAGAGGATTCCAGGGCAGATGGTCATTTTATTACTGCTTTTTCTTAAAGTGACAATAAGAATTTTACAATTCAATGTGACCAAACATGATTCATCATTTTTGAAAACAACGGACAACTGAAAGAAGTGATGCAAATGATAAAAGCACTAAAGCCAAGAGAGACTTCCTTCTGATCAGGAGATGCCACAGCCAAATCTTAGAAGCTTCTGACGGTGGCTTGTGGACACCGTCTTCCCAATACCTGAGGGACACTTGTCACCAAGTGCTTTTACCAGCTTACTCATCAGATACTTTCTAAGTCTTTTTGCACTGAAATCATATTAAGAAATGAGGCAGTATTTTCACAGAAGCCTTCTGAAAATGCCAATGGCCTTTCTGGGCTCAGTACCTGACTGAAATGTTCAAATGTTTATATAGTACACACAAAATAAACTGAGCAGCAAGTTGTGGGTGTGAGACTCAGAGCAAGGGTTAGATGTGAAGCCCTGATTGTGATCTAAATAGTTTCTGTATCTTTATGTAGAAAGCTAAACTCAACAGCACAAATACAAAACGCATTTAATTTTACAAAATACACGCAGCCCCTCAGACATAACACACCTGGCAAATGTGGTGATGACATGGGGCGGGAAAGTGGCCATGCGCACCAGCCCTTATGTGAAGGGACATAGGCACATGTTCTCAGTCCTTCACTGTGGAATGTGAGGAATTGTGGAGAATTAAAAGTTACGGAGTTGGAAGTTGTGGAATGAGAATGGTCTGCAGCAGGTATGCTATGCGGGCTGGCGTCATTTGTGTGACCCTGTCACGGTGAAAGGCTCTCAAGACAAGGTGGGAAGGCATGAAGGCTGGGTGGTCTCACCAAAGAATCGGGGCATGTCCTCCAGGGTTGGCATCACTCCAGGAGAACTGGCACTGCCCTCAGGTGACCACTGCTGCCCTGCCTGGCAATTCCACAGGGGTGGGTGAGATGGACCAAGCCTGGCCTCCAGTCTCTAAAGACTGCCAGGCTTGCCACCAACACTGGCCCAAGGGAACTGTCATTTGTGCAAAACTTCTCCACAGAACACAAAACCTAACACAAGGGGTCTGCCAGGAGGTGATGCCCTGCTCCACTCTGAAATGTGGACCTGGCAGATTAAAATTGAAACTTCTTTCCAGAAGAATTCTTATAACCTTAAGCAGATTAAATGCTACTGTCAAAATCCCCTCACTTGAAGCACCTGCGCTGTCAGCCACCTGCCCTGTATCTGCAGTCCATGTTCTCAGTGGCTTCACAAAGGAAGTTTTTCTCATAGAGCACTGAACACACAGAGCACTGAGTCACAACCTGGACAGCATGGAGTCATCTTTGTTGCCAACAAAAACTGCTACTGTTTCTTAAAGGGAAAGCGTACATGGTTGGAATCACTCATGGACTCTAGGATAGACCACACTAGTCCTGTGAGCTCTATCTGGGTGACAAGGACTCAGCCAGCTGTAAGTCCTCCTTACCCATGCCCCTGTCACTACGCCAGGATACTGGCTCCTAAGTCAGACCGCAGTGGGACTGCTGCCAGGCTGCAGATGGACTGTGCCCAAGAGGCAGAAGGCAGCTGGCTGGCCCCAGCTCCCCTGGCATGAGTGTTAGGCACTCAGCTGTCAGGCACAAGGCCTTGGCAATTCCTGCCACACCTTTACTACAGCTGCATCACAACCTGGCTTAGTAGGGCTCAGCCACCTAGCATGCAAGCTTGCCACCAAGGCCAGCGACCCTGAAACACCTGTGCCCCTTCCTAACACTGACATCCCAGAACTGGCACAGACTAATGACCATTTCTATGGCAGAGGTGCACCTGTAATCTCAGTTACTTGGGTAGCAGAGGCAATAGGACTGAGGGCTTAAGGCCAGCTGGGTTACATGGCCCTGTCTCAAAAATGATCTAAAGACAAAAAGAATTCACCTCATGTGGTATGATGGTGCCTGTGCAGCTGTGACCTCACAGATGTCGTTCACATGGCCCAGGGCCCAGGGGCAGCCGGAACAGGCCACAGCAGGCTGTGGGATGGGAACTCTCTCTAACTGCTCAAAAGAGCCCAACCCATGCCTCAGATTCCACTGAAAAAGTTACATTTATTTTGCTTTAGTATTCTGTTCTGCCTCTGTGTGTGTGTCCTGTAATCCTAGCTACTCAGGAGACTGAGATCTGAGGATCCCATTTTGAAGCCAGCCCAGGCAGGAAAGTCCATGAGACTGATTTCCAATAAACTACTCAGAAAAAAGCCAGAAGTGTTGCTATGGCTCAAGAGGTAGAGCACAAAGAGGCTCAGGGACAGCATGCCCAGGCCCCGAGTTCAAGCTCCAGGGCCAGCAAAGAAATAAAAAAAATCCCAAGGGCTGGGATTATAGATATGTACTACCATGCCTGACTTTACAACTAATTCTTTATAATCTCAGTACAATATTGATTAACTACCTTTTAAGGGTGGTTTTGCTGTTACTTTCTTCCTTCAAATAATGTTTCCTGAGGCTAATTTTCCTGGCTGAAGTAAATTAATGGAGTTCTCAGGTTAAATCTTGCAGTTTGATATCTCAAGTTATGCTCAAACAGAAGTATATGCTCTGAGATTTAGTGACCTGTGCAGAAGCACCAGTTTGGAAAGTTTAGGGATATTTAGAGCATACACTGTGCTTTTCCACATGCCTCATTTACATATTTATAAACCAACATTTCACCAGGAGAAATCAACTCATCATCTGTCAATGCCCCTGTTTCTGGTACTCCTGAAAAACAGTGTAGCAGGACGTTGCTCACTGACCCCCTCCACGTGTGTCTTCTGTCACTGAGAAGGCGACTGCTCCCAACAAGCACTCCCTGAGCCACCACACGTCCACCAACTGCAGCCTGCAGTGGGTATCGAGTGTGGCAAACACTAGCTGCTGGGCAAAACCAGCAGAGGCCAACATAGCAGGATGCCCTTTTACCAGCGGGTGACCAGGGTGGCCTGCCATTGGCCTCTCTTGCCTCCTGTGCACTACACATGTGAGCTGGGTGAGATTTCTTCTAGTCATAGATTCGGAAGGGGCAGGAAGTGCCTTGTGGAGGACTCTGAGTGAGGAAGGAGGCCACATTCTGAGCACAGCTTTCTCAACAATGAGGCCCAGACGTCTGAAGCTCTGTCCATACCAGCAAAGAAGTGCTCCCTTGGGAGGTGGAGGCAAAGCTCTGGTTTAAACAGTGATGAAGAACATGTTTTGGACAGAGTGGGCCAAACTCACTGGTGGGCTCTGAAGTTCAACCCTACAGACTGAGCCTGGCCCATGGACCTGGCCTCCCATGATCCCCCAGCCTCCTCTGCACTATGCCTCCCTCCTGTCACCTCAGCAATCCAGTCAGCAAAGAATAAAGACTGAAACAGGGCGTCCCAGCCTGGGGCCCCCTCTGGCCTTCATGGTCCCAGGGGAGGTGGCCTGGTAAACAGGAGAACAAGGTGGGCTGCCTGACTCTAAGCTCAGCACGTACTAAGGCCAACTTCAGCAAAACTAAAACAGGAATATAACTTAATTTTAGTACATATAAATTACAACCACCATCTAGATATTCCAGCAGTAAAATAGAACAAAATATACATAAGTAAAAACTTCTCTGGAGTAAACAAATGTACAATCTCAGAATGTAGAACTCACTGGAAGGTTTGCTGTATTTTAATCAGGCTCAGGAGATAAAAGTTGTCAATTGGAGCCCAGCCTGGCCTGGACGCCGTGCTGCTCGTCATAGTGGGGTCCCTCTTCTCAGCAGATGGACTTCCCCATAGGCACAGCTGCCACCCAGCACAGTTCTGCTGTGGGCCTGTGGCAAAGGAAGGGTCTGGAGCCATAGGTGACGGGCACCCCCACACCTGAGGCCACACAGCTGGGTCCCAGCTCAGGGCTTCCCACTGTCCTGGCTGCATGGCTCGGGGAGACTCTGGGGGGACGAGGTGCTGAAGGCCGACAACCAGGAAGACACAGCTGTCTTCGCACTGGAAAATGCACCTCCCACGGACTGGCCTGGGGGAGGAAGAGAGATGCCACGGTGAACTCTGGTGGTGCTGGAGAGGGAAACCAGGCCTGGCTCTACAAGCCACACCCCAGACCATGCCTTCAATCTTGAGATCAGTAGGAACCACAGCTGGCCACTTACATGGATGCTCCTAAACTTCTAGCTTTACAGTAATCCCCTCCCTTGGGAATGTCTTCTAGAAAGTTGGAATTCTATTGTAGCTCAACAGTTTGTGGAATTCACACAGCTGCAGCACAGCATACAGATCTGTGTCCCTCAATCTCAGATCCTACTGAACATCCACTTACGTATGTAAAAGTGTTTACACACACACATAACTAGTCACCTTATTGATTTAGTTATTACTGAGACTCAAACTCAGGGCTTCGTGTATGGTAGGGAGATGCTCTACCTCTTGAGCCACAATTCTCTTTTGCTTTATTTTTCAGATAGCATTTTACACTTTTGCACAGGCTAGCCTTGGATCATTAGCCTTTTGCCTATGTCTCCCACAGAACTGGGAGCACAGATAATGTGTCACCATGCTTAGCTTGTTGGCTGAGATGACTTTGCTAACTCTGTTTGCCTGAACTGACCTCAAGCCACAATCCTCCCAACCTTTGCCTCTTGATTATAAGCAAGGGCCGCCACCACTCCTGTTATTCTTCCTTCATCTTTCTGTTCTCCGAATACTGGTAGTGTTCACCTTCTCTTTTCCTATGCAGCCCAGGCTGGCCTGGAATCGGTGTGCCTCCCATTTCCTTCTCCCACTGGAATTATAGTCATGAGCTTCATGACTGGCCATTCATTTTCTTACTTTAGAGACAGCACCTCCTAATGCCCACTCTATTGGAATTCTTGGCTACACACAGGGGCCTTGGGCAGTGGTGGGAAATGGGAAAAGGAACTCAGTGAAATCTTCAGAATGTTCATTTGAAATGAGATTGATATACCTTGTTACTATTGTGTGTTACACAGACCTCACCACTTTCTACTTGCTGAAGCTGGACCACAGTGTGGAGGCCTCAGCCTGGCACCTTACCAACAGCCTTTCCCGTCTGCACTACGTTTCGGCTGGTTGTGACGACGACATTCCCAATTCTCTTGCCGCGCTCACTGTTCTGAACAGAGCTGAGGAGAGGAAAGGAGTGTGAGTGTGAGTACAACTGACAAGTCTTGCACGCACCTGCACGTGCACACCCCTCCACCCCCACATACTGTGACTGTCCCAAACTAGTACTGAGAAACTGTTATTCAGTATTTGTGAGTAAATTTATTGATTAAAGCATGCAGATCATCAGAACATAGCAAAGAACAGAGCTAGTCAAAAGTGAAGAAAGGCTGGTCAAGTGTCCATGACAGATGGACAGACAGGCAGATAGATTGGCTGGCTAACAGTACCTCACTGAACACCACAGCCCTCCCCACAGCAGCTTCAACTCTGTAGCATGTACTGCTGAGCTACTAGAAGCGTCAAGTTCTCAGGTGGAAAAGGTTCCTGTGAGCAGCAGGTGTAGAACTTCTGCACATGGCCATATCCTCCAGGTACTCACTGAGAGAATCTTAACTTCATGTCCGCCACGGAGTACTGCCCCTGGAATGGGTGGCTGTAAAACAAAGTGTGAGCTTAGGCTTAGGGGCTTCACCATATAGCCACAGGTTCACTGCCAGTAGCTCCTGGCTGAGCAGGTGGGGAGAAGTGCTCAAGGTGGGGTTAGAGCTGGCTGGGTGACAGCTCTCTGCCTAGAGCTGTGATCTACCAGATAGCTCCTGTTACCTTGGAGCTGAGACCCACTGGAAAACTCATGGGAGCTTGTTTCCTCCTTGTAAAACCGCATGGGTACACAAGTTGATGCTGTGATAAAGCTGCCCTCTGTTCCCACTTCACTGAGTCTGGGGTGGGACAGTCAGGGAATCACCAATTTAGGACATGGTCCCAGACACCTTATAAATGGGTAAAGTTTAATTAGTGGATTAGCATAAGCCTTGTAGTTAGAAAAGAAATTCAAAATGTAGCCTCTTTGCTGAGAGCTGGTGGCTCACACCTGTAATCCTAGCTACTCAGGAAGCTGAGATCTGAGGATTGGCCTGGGCAGGAAAGTGTGAAACGCTTACCTCCAACTAACCACCAGAAAACTAGGAATGGGACTGTTGCTCAAAGTTAAAATAGAGTGCTAGCCCTGATGGAAAGAGCTCAGGAACAGCACCCAGACCCTGATTTCAAACCCATTCCAGCTGTGCCTCTGGAAGACTTGCCCTGAAGTCTGTAGTGCTGACAGAAGTGAAAAAGCACCAGAGCAGTGCTGCATGGCTAACAGGAGGCCCCTGCTTTCTGGCACTGCTCCCCCACCCCATGTCTCCTGTGAAACAGTCCCCACTGGCCCTCTCCAGTGTCTTGGATCATAGGCCTACGCTCGAGGAGGGAGATAACTTGGGTCCTTTCTTTAGTGTTGCTAGAATGGCATGTACCATTTGGTACTGTTTTATTTACATCCACTTGTCAGCATAGGCGCCTGCTTTGCCAGGTGTGGTGAGTGCATGTTTAGGAAAAGTGTGAGCATGTGCACAGGGCACATTAGTCAGCCCTAAACATGAACATGGAAGTCAGTACTGAGCTGAGTCACATTTAAATAACAATAGTGTATGCTTACGACATGAATATTTTTATCTTTTAAGTTAGGAAAGAAGTTTCTAGCGTGTATGCATTCAACAGTTCACCTCCATGGTATTCACTCACACATGGATACACCAAACAGAAGTTGGATGCTTTTTGTGTAAAGACTGCATACAAAAGGAGATCTCAGGCTGTGCAGCCTTTTTACAACCCACAGAGGGCTGTTCTTAATAGTTGCGGGATGGGTAGGACTTGTGTGGGACACTCTGGGTACACCCTCCCCCTTCCCTGGTGCCTACTTGGGATTGATCTCGGCGAGTGCGGGGTGTCTGTTGCTGTTCCACACCCGGTAGTTGTGTGTGTTCCTCCACGCAGTGACAAAGGTTGCCCCGTAATCCGACAGCATCTTTTCATTATCTGCAGAGGAAATATTGGCCAGAGTTGAGCTGTGCAGCCACGGGGCTCAGGCTGACAAGCAGAGGCAGGCAGAGCTCCTGTCCTTGGTTTGAGCACCTGCCACCTGTCAGGACACCTGGGTCTGGCTCCAGAAATCCTAAGCAGATACATGGACTTTGGAAAGTCAGTCACTCAGAACTTCACCTCCTAACTGAAGAGAACAGGGTTGAGCCAGACATTTTCCAAAGTTCCTTGAACTTCAAAATGTTTCTGAGTTCACCTTCCATGATGGAAGACTATATAACTTATTAATAAAAACTAAACAATGCATATGGAAAAGAGGAGTATTTTTTATAATGTCATTTTTCTATCAAGATATAATAAATTGGTTCTTTCGCCCAATTTCTTTTCCTTTGGACATTGTCGCACCCTCTGGGACATTGTTCTAGACTTTTCTAGCATTTCACAGTCCAAACTACTTAAAATCACGAGGACTTCCAAGACAACAACTTTGAGTTGTGGCAATGGTTGGGAGCCACAGAGCAGTTCTGGCAGATGGGTCCATGAGACCATGTCCCACGTCAAACGTATGTAGTTTACTTTTTTGTCTGTTTTTGAGACAGGATCTAGCTGTGTGCTTGCCTGGGTGGGCCTGGAAGTCCCCATCCTTACCATGGTCCCAAGGGGATTATAGACTATACCACCAGGTTTGCTGTGTTGCTTGCTTTGAAGGTAAATCTAAGTACTTTCTATTACTGGGAAAGGAGCAGTAGGAGACAGTTCCATTGACAGTGCCTCAACTTATTAAACTGGAGCTGGACCCTAGCTCAGGCTCTCACCAGATTGGGGAGTGGGTCATAAGTTATTTAAACTCCCTATGTCTCATTCTGTTTTCTGCACAATGGGGATGCCAGCCAGAGGTGGCACATGCCTGCAATCCCAGCTACTATAGAGAGGTAGCAATCAGAAAGACAGTGGCTCAAGGCTGGCCTACCCCAGCAAAAACTTAGGGAAACTCAATCTCAATGGAAAAGCCGGGCATGGTGATCACAAATGTAATCCCAGATGTGTAGGAATCTTAAGTACGAAGCCAGTGGTCAAGGCTGGCTCAGGTAAAACACTTGAACAATAATAAAAGCAAAACGGAATGGGGGCATGGCTCAAGTGGTAGAGCAACTGCCAACTAACCTAGACCTTGAGTTCAAACCTAAATACCGCTAGAAGATAAAATGAAACTTGTTAAAAAATAAAAGAAAAATAAAATAGACATGGCAAGACACTGCCTTCAGGATTGTTGCAAAGATGGCAGGAATTATTAGATTTCAGGTATTCAGAAAAGTTTGTTTTTTGTTTTGCCAGTCCTGGGGCTTGAACTCAGAGCTTGGGCACTGTCCCTGAGCTGCTTTTGCTCAAGGCTAGCACTCTACCACTTTAGCCACTTCTGACTTGAACCCATTTTATGCATTTTATGCATGCTAGGCAAGTACTCTACCACTAAGCCACATTCCCAGCTCCCAGAAAAGGTCTTTCTCCCTGTTAAATGTTTCAAATAAAATGTTAGTTAGTTCTTACAGCCTCCTGGAAAAGTAGTTTACAAAGGAAAATAAATGGGTTACTCATGAAGTCCAGTGACAGGAACTGGGGCCTCCCTTTTAGACTATCTTATTGACATCCAGCCAACACTGATGGAGGACTAGGGAGTCCTGGAGGAGAACAATTCTACTTGCTAGATATTTGCTAGTCTCCTGAGGTGGTGAAGCTTGGGCAAAGCTCTAGTGCTACTTTCCAGATCTTTCTATGGGGAGCCATCTTGCCCATTTCTTGGAAGGATTTCTTAGCAGGAGCAAGTGGGGAATGTGGCTTGTGACTGTTTTCTCCAGAGGTCTTCACTGTGTACATGGCCATGAAGGCTGACAGGTGACATGCCCTCTGTGGTGCCACACTGTGAAGACTCCTGAGGCAGGGCTCAGTGTTTGTTTTAGGTTTCTACTTAAGAGCCAGAAAAGGCAAGACTGGTACAATATGCTCAAAGGGCTCTATTTCTGTAAAAAGACCATAAAACAAAGCCCTGACAAAACATGAGCTGGGATCAGCACAGGGACAAGCACATGCCTAGCATGTCCAAGGCCCTGGGACCATCCCAGCCCACAGAAATGCCAAAAATGGATGCAAAGCCAAGGCTTTGGGCAGGCTCAGGACGGTCTCTGTGTGCAGGGCAACCACAACGTGCACCTCTACGTATCTACGGGCACCTCACCTAGCTGCAGGGTGGCAGCCAGCAGGGCATGAAGATAGACTGCAAACTGGGCCCGGATCCATTCGTCGCCACCCTCCCAGCCTGTGCCATCCAGGAAAACGTCATCGCGGTTCTCTGTGACATGCTTTACCAGGTGGTCCGCGAACCTCAGGTCTGCCGTGGTTGGGCTCAGCAGTTTCCTGAGCTCTGGGTCATGGATCTGCACAAGCGCCTCCTCTACCTACAGGAAGTGAGGATGAGGGGTAAGTCAGCAGGCCCAGTCCTTGGTCAGAGGAATTGTAACTAAGGCCAGCAAGGGACAGGTCAAGGGACAGAACCACACTCAGGAAACCGGCTCCTACACTTGTGTCCAGTATATTCAAAAAATGCTCGTTTTGTTTGCAGAAAGTACATGCATAAATGCACCATTTTGATATATATATATATATATATTTTTTTTTTTTGCCGATCTTGATACTTGAACTCTGAGCCCAGGCACTGTCTCTGATCTCTTCAGCTCAAGGTGAGCACTCTACCACTTGGGCCACAGTGCCACTCCCGGTTTTCTGGTGGTTTATTGGAGATAAGAGTCTTATGGACTTTCCTGCACAAGCTGGCTTTGAACTGTTGTCCTCAGATCTCAGCCTTCTAAGTAGCTAGGATTATAGGTGAGACACTGGCACCCAGCTTATGATAAAAATCTTTAATCACCTGAAATGAACAACCTTAACTTTTCCTGTGGAATGTGTGGATTTGGGGGAACATTTTATTATGTAATGTTTGATATACAATGAATACATATTAGCTGTAACTGGGTTTGCTTTCATAGGCTAGAGACAGACACTGGGCCAGTGCTCTACCCCACAGCTGCACTCTAGGCCCACAGATTTAGCAAATACCCTTAAGCCCTCCAGCCTGCCTACAAGCCACAGCAGCTCTGGTTCTGTGTCCTCCTGGCTTGGAAAGGAAAGACACTGTCCTCCAAATTCAGACCATAATAAATAACCTGGAACTATCTCCCCATAAAGCATGTACCTCCTGTCAGGACCTACAAAAACCTTAGCAAGGACTCTCTGTCTGTGTCTCTTTCTCTCTCTGCAGAACAGGGCTTGCAGGTCTGTGCTCTTTCTCAGCACGTTTGCTCACAGCTGGGGCTCTGCCATTTGAGTCATGCCTCCAGTCCAATATTTTGCTAGTTAACTAGACATGGGATTTCTTTGACTTTTCCAGGCTGGCTTGGGATGTCCTGATCTCAGCTGTTTGAGTAGTTAGGATCACAGGCCCAGTTTTTGCTTTTTAAAGGACTCCTTGAACTGTAAAATTGACTAGATGGTTTGAACTTCTTGTGTAATGATAAGACCAAATACCTATTCTTGGCTTCTTTCTTACTTTAGGCACATGCTACATGGACTAGGAGGAGGAACTCACACAGGAAATGTGTTTTGGTGACTTGTGGCTGACAGGAAGCTGCGCTGGCTCACACATGTACTGGCTGTTTGCTCTCCTGGCACTGACTTGACCTCTGACCTCAGCCTCTGCACGAGTACGTTTGCCCATCTTCCGGGGTCTCATGCCACATGTGAAGCTGAGGGTGCCCTTTACAGGGCTATCATTGTGCCTTATGGAAGCAGCTGAGGAAGGGGCAGGGCCCATCAGTGCCAGAACACCAGACACAACCTACTTCCACCACGGCATCGCTGAGGTGTTTCTGTTGTCGAAAAAGAATGTTAGTGGCTCCAGCAACGAATCCGCGCACGGTGACATCAGAGAGAAGGTGATGCTGCTGCAAAGCCATGTAAGGCAGGCACAGGTAACCCTGCAGGCAGAGGACATGGTAAGAAAGGAAGAGAACATTGCCCAGCCTTCCCTGCCTGCCCCTAGAAACACCAGTGAGTCCTATTACAGACTCACACTATAATACTAACTATTTTGGAGGAGGCAGAGATCTGGAGAACCCGAAGTTAGAGGCCAGCACAGGCAAAACAATAACAGACTCATCATCAACAAAAAAATCTGGGCTTGATGTGGTAGATATGTCATCCCAGACAAACAGGAAAGTCTAAACAGGATCATGGTCCTGGTCAACGTGGCTATAAATGTGAGAATATATGAAAAGTAACTACGATAAAAGGGCTGCAAGTGTGGCTAAAGTGATATAGCTCCTACCTAGGAAGTACAAAGGCCTTTGGTTCAAACCGATTAAAACCCAGTACAGCCAAAAAATTTTCTTTCAAACATGCGCTTGCACATGATCACCAAAATACCATTATTAGGATGGCAAAGCACCACAATATTTTATTTCCCTACTACAAAAAGTCAGGTAAAGGAGCCAGGTGCCGATGGCTCACACCTGTAATCCTAGCTACTTGGAAGCTGAGATATGAGGATCGAGGTTCGAAGCCAGAAAGCCAGAAGTGGTGCTGTGGCTAAAGTGGAAGATTTCTAGCCTTGTGCCAAAGAAGCTCAGGGACAGAACCCAGGCCCAGAGTTCAAGCTGCAGGACCAGCCAAAAAACAGAAACAAAGGTAAAGATACGTCTAGACAATTTGCTACCAACAGATAAAGCAAAATTGAATGGCAGTAGTTGTGGGTTTTATTTCAAACAACACTGCCTTGGAAGTTATTAGTGAGTCTGTAAACCTCAGAGGCACTGGAGTATGCACAAAACCCCATACCAACAACTAAAACCAAATCCAAATCCAAAACATTACTGCTTGCTTCCCAAGAGATTTTTTTTTTAGGGGAGGGGGTCCGATCGTGGGGCCTGAACTCTAGGCCTGGGCGCTGTCCCTCAGCTCTTCAGCTCAAGGCTAGTGCCACTTGAGCCACAGTGCCACTTCCTGCTTTTTTCTTTTTGCTTATGTGGTGCTGAGGAATCAAACTCAGGGCCTCATGCACGCAAGACAAGCGCTCTACCACTGAGCCACCTTCCCAGCCCTTCCCAAGAGATTTTGACACACACACACACACACACACACACTGAGGAATCGAACCCAGGGCCTCATGCACGCAAGGCAAGCGCTCTACCACTGAGCCACCTTCCCAGCCCTTCCCAAGAGATTTTGACACACACACACACACACACACACACACACACACACACACAGATTATTACACAGCCATAAGCAAAATGAAATCATGTCCTTTGCAGAAAAATGTATGGAACTAGAGAGCATCATGTTGAGATGAACCACACTCAAAAAGCCGCACCTAAAAGACATACATACTGAGGGACATGTACATTCACATATATACCTGTATACATACACATACACATGCAGAACATGTTAGGATAAAGGGGAGAGGGAAAAGAAAGACAAAAGGTAAGTTGGAAATAGAGCTCAACAACATTCAGCATCAAGTACACGACTCCCAACATTCTGCTAAGCAAGCTTGATTGACAAGACATGAAATGCATTTCCACATGGCTTCATTTGCGCCTGTTAGTGCTCCTTGTCTATGGTAAAAGAACAAAATGGAATTTTTTTTCCGTTCCATGTTCAAAAATAACTTGCAAATAACACTACAACAGTTTTTCCTGGATAGAATAAACAACGAAAACAAAAAAGGCCCCAAAATTGTAGCTTCCAGAAAATGTCTTATCTATCACAGCTCCCTACGTATAATGACATTACAATGTGATTTCCTGAGACACAGGATCTGTGTGATTTGCTGAGTTGTCTGGGGCTCATGGATGCCCTGCCTCCATCTCCTGGCCGGTGGGGCTACCAAGGTAATGTGTACTATACATTCATAAGTGCCATCAGGACTCTGGACTTCCTTGATTTAACTTATGTACTTAAAAGGAGACCTGGAGACTTGCTGCCTTCATACATACCAAGGCCCTCAGCTCCTCATGGCACCTCACGGCACCTGACAGAACCTTTCACCTGCACTCCAGGCAGAAGCGGTGCTGCCCCAGACATTTTTTTTTTTTTTTGTCGGTCATGGGGCTTGAACTCTGGGCCTGGGTGCTGTCCTTCAGCTCTTCAGCTCAAGGCGAGCGCTCTACCACTTGAGCTACAGTGCCACTTCCGGTTTTCTGGTGGTTTATTGGAGATGGGAGTCTCACAGTCTCTCCTGCCTGGGCTGGCTTTGAACCGCGATCCTCAGATCTCAGTCTTCTGAGTAGCTAGGATTACAGGCATGAACCACCAGTGCCCAGCTGCCCCAGACATTTTTAAGAAAAACTACCTGATTTATGTAACTGTAACCCTTCTGCATATCACCTTTATAATAACAATAAAAATAAAAATAATAAGATTCAAAATGATTAAATAAATGATTAAAGCACAAGCAAAAAAAAACACTTTTGAGACCCGATGGCCTTCAGCACTGAGCTACCCAGCCACCCATCCTACCTTTGTGAAGATGGCCAGGGGCATGCCATACTGGTCCTCTTCCAACCCTGAAATGAGTCCTGGCATCAGGACCACTTGGCCAGTGTGGGCCTGCGGCTGGACAGTAATCGGGGGGCTGTCTGAGGGCACCAAGTCTTTAGGAAGCGAGTCTGTGAGGTCGGGTTCTACTGGCCCCCTTTCTTTCAAGTCCTCTAGGACGCTGGGATCTAGCGTCTCCCAGTCACTTTCTGAAGATTCTGGAGACAGGCGGGAGGGGGGCTTCAAGTACTGCTGGGCACTGGATCCTTCCTGTCCCTTGTCATCTACTGGGAACAGAGGCTTTTCAGAGGTGAGGGCTGCATCTCCTCTGTGGCTGCTGCTCACCTCCATCTTCACATTAGCACTGGAAGTTTCAGAAGCAGGCTCAGAGAGGGAGTCATCCACTGGAGTCCTGCTCTCCTGCAGTCCTGCCTCTTCTGACACGCTCTTCCGGGGTCTATACTGAGAGCAGTCACCAAGTCCATGCTCAATCATGCCTAGAACACGCAGGGGTGGAGATCCGCATGGTTTATAACAGATAATAACACGTAAGATTAGAGCTGTGTTTAAAACAGGAAAGACTAGAACTGTGCAGTTTCATGCAGCAGAATGCTCCTACATTTAAAGGTTTTGAAGGCTGTGCCTGTGCCAGGCACTGCACAATCCTGGAATCCCAGCTACTCAGAGGCTGAGTTCTGGGGAATGCAGTTTAGGAAACTCGATCTCAACAACAGTTGAGCATGGTAGTGTGCACCTGTTACTCAAGCTTTGGGGAAGCATGGTGTTGGAACGGTGTGCACTGTGTGTGCACCTGTCACCCCAGCCTCCTGGAGAGGCACAAGTGGGAAGACTGCAGTCCAGGCACTAGGCAAGCCCCTGATTTAAAAATAACCAATGCCAACAGAAGCTGGAGGCAGCAAGGCTCAAGGTAATGTGGGTCTGCCTAGTTCAAGGCCCAGTACTGCCAATAAGACCAAGAAAACAAAAAGTTATTATTGTATTCATTTATAAAAAGAAAAAAAAACCTTAAAGAAATGAAGGAAAACTCAGACAAAAAAGAAAACCTATTCCCAAAGGAAAATGTCACGTAAAAATACGAAGACTAACCCTAACACTTATCTTTTGATTGTTCTTATTACAGCCAAGTGTAATGAAGAGTAGATGGGAAACCACAGTCCTCTTACCTGGGAAGAGGGATAACACAGTCATCAGCGCCCCCACCAACTTGTTCACTGGAGAAATATAAAAAAGAACCTGAAATGGAGTCAACCGAAATTAATTAGAAAATCCATGAAGCCTGAATGCTACTAAAAGGGGTAGGGGTTGAGCTCTCTGCAGAAGGATCATAGCTAACTGGTGTACAAGCACTGACAGAAAACACTTGATACTAAAATGACCATGGAAGTGTTTGGCATAGGGTATTTACTCAGTGTGTTAGATTTATCCCTTATCCCTGGCACCCATGAGGTGGGACACCGCCTGAACCAATCCACCAAACTGCGAATTATTACCAGCTGTCCACATAACTATGAGCCTTCCAACATGACCAAGGAGCCCTTCACCTGAGTAACATTCTTATTAAAATGTTTAATATGAAACAACTCTAATCCAAATCTGGATTCTTTAAAGAGTCCCAGTGTCACAGAGTACAAAATAAAGCAAGTGCACAGTGACAGAGCTTTCTGACCCTGGGGGACCGGCAATGCTGGGATACTGCAGGGGACTGCTGAGCTTGAACAGAGCATGGAGAACCGTAAGCTCATCTGTGGCTCAACTTCCTATAGCACAGAGTGCATCCAGCCCTTCCCCAGTCTCTACAGCTGAGATTTTTACTGAATATAACTAACTCTGGAGGACATGCCTGCTTACAAGGTCTGAGAAATGCATGCAAAGACTCAGGGGCAAGGCAGACCAGGAAACAAGTGCAGGCAGGGCTAGACCCACAGCCTGACAAGCCAAACCAACTGGAGTGAAGAATTCATATCAAGTGGTTTCCCACCAATTGGGACTGAGAAGCAAGAAGCAGATTAGTTCCTGTGCTACCAGGGAAATGGAGCCCCAGAGAAAGTTGGATGGGGCACTGCACAGGAGAGAGGGGAAATCCAGGTGCTTAGTGACTAACTCACCATGACCATTGAGTCGGCCAAGCCTGAAGTCTGCATGGGCCAGGCACTTGCTTTAAAGTCAAGTTAGCTTAACCTTGGAGCTCTGTTACCTATATCCAAAACGATCCTGATGATGGAGTGAATATGTGTCCAACATTCAAACGTGGACAGCAGTAGCACTCAGAACACATGCTCCAGGTCACCAGTTTCATAAGCAAAAAATACCTAAATATTTTATTAATTTCTATAAAAATGTTAATAAAAGGTAAACACTATAGCAGCCTTCCATTAATCTCTTTATTTTTTATTTATGTATTTATTTTGGTCAGTCATGGGGCTTGAACTCAGGGCCTGGGCACTGTCCTTTAGCTCTTTCACTCAAGGTTAGTGCTCTACCATTTTGACCCGTAACACCACTTCCAGTTTTCTGGTAGTTAACTGGAGATGACAGTCTCATAGACATTCCTGCCCAGGCTAGCTTTGAACCACAATCCTCAGATCTTAGCTTCCTGAGTAGGTAGGAATATAGATGTGAGCCACCAGCACACAGCTCTTTATCCTTTTGTATCATACCTTTTTCTCAAGAAGAATTAGTTTAAACAGGATTAAGACCTGAAGAAAGAACAATGTATTAAAATTAGACATTGTAGTCCTGTGTCCCCTTCTTAAATACAGCCATGTGCCATCTAACCGAACTAATTGGAGTAAATTAAAACCGTATGATACATTATGGATTTATACCAAGAAATTAATAATAATTGTGCCCCCTTAAAAATGTAAGAATCATGCAAATCTTGAAGCAAATTATCTTTGGTGGAAGGCATGGAGGAATTTTTGCCTGAAATTTTTGCAAGTATCTTAAAGGGCAAGGGTGCAGGGCATTGAACCTCAGGTTTTTGATACACATTTGGGAAATGAATACATGTCTCAGACAACATCTGCTTTAATAACCAAGATCATAATCCCCATAGCCAAAAACAGAATACAAGATTGGAAAGGTAAAGGACAGCTATTTTGCCAGAAAATGTTCCATTCTCAGAGCAATATTCAGCAAATCAAAACATGTTCTTCCCCACTTTGATCTAAGCATAGCTGAAATTTCAGACACTAGAAAAACACAAATCTACCCTGCTAGAATAGACAGTTTTGTAGTCTTTTAAAAATGTCTATGATACAAACATTCCTGACAGTTTCAACTTTGTATGACTCTAAGGCCAAGCACCAGTCCTCAAAGATCTAAAATAGTTATGCACGAATCTGAATCTTATATAGCACATTGCATCTGTCAATAAAAGAAATGCAGTAAGAATGGTGTCTCAGATGAATGCAGTGACTCATGTCTGTAAACACCCAACAGCAGAGAACCAGAGGATCAAGGTTTCAGGGCAGTCCCAAGCAAAAAGTTAGCAAAATCCTATCTCAAAAGCAGCTGGGCATGGTGGTATGCGCCTGTCACCTCAGCTCCTCAGCAATATGGGAAGCAAAAAGAGGGGACTGCTATCTGAGCCAGCCTGGATAAAAAGTGAGCTCCAATCTGAAAAATAATACCAGCAAAAAGGGCTGGAGGTGTGGCTCAAGCAGGGAAAGTGTTTGCCTACCAAGTATAAATCCCTTTTTTGAGAAACTCCAGTAGTAGCAAACACATGCCCAGACAATACCAAAGACATAGCATTTAGCACACTATAAATTAAAGAAGGAATCCTACCTTGTGTCGAAAATGAAGGACCAGATCTCGAGGGGACAGACCTGTAACAGTAATGCAAAGCTAATCTGTGACTGAATTCTACAGTTTTTGTGGAAAGTTAGTTAGAAAGCGAGGGTTAACAAAGCAAGTGGGAGCACACGAATATTCAAATATTTGTCAAAATACACACTTGCTCAGAAGCAGAGCTGTCCAACAGGACTCTGGGTCTGGAGGGGAGGGAGTTTGAAACCAGCAGCTGAGCCGAGTATGGAGATGGAAACCTAGATATATGGTGGGGGTGACTGACTGACAAACTGACTTCATCTATTTAATTTTGTAAGTGCATGTGTACCTAGGAAAAGCTGTGAACTCTGCCATGAGTGCAAACACTGGCTAAGAAGCTGGCTGAAGCAGCAGCAGCAGCTAACACTGAAAAACCCTGATTGTACACAGAGGACATGCAAATATCAAAATTTTTATGTGCCCTATCATATGCCCACCAACAGGGCCGGCCCCATGTGCATTAGGAGGCAGCTTCCCCTATATGACGTGTAGAAGGGACTTACCGAGATATACTTGGGATCCTTCCAGCGAGGTCCCGCCCAAGGAGCTGTTCATGTGTTCATAGAGCTCCTAGGGGACACGGTTGTCAGAGCTCACCATCACCCCCAGGCACATGGTTATCAGAGCTCAAGGTCACCCCCAGACATAGGATTGCCGGAAAAAGTTGGGCAGCTTATTCTGACAGATACTAAGTTTAGAAACCATCAAGATATCTCCAGAAACCTGCCAGTTTTTAGCACTAGGTCTCTTCCATACAGAGCAACTGCGAAAGAGAACTGGACACCAACTGTGGATGTTACAATGTCTTTCTCTCTCCTCTTTCCCTCTCCTTGCTCTCTCCTCATTGTACAGCCTGAGTCACCACATGGGAGTAGGAAGTTCAGAGTAAGTCCCTCTGCCTCCCTACCCAATTACTGTCTCACTCTCCCTGGTGTCCAGGAGACCTGTATCTGTGCCTGCATGAACCTTGAGAAAGGCATTATCCATCTTCAATTAAACATTGGACCTAGGGGCCACAGCCTGACTTATGAATGTACTGTGGTGTTTATTGATAAGCAAACTTACAAAAGCTATGCCATAGAAAAACATCTATGCAGTTACTTACAGTCATTATTCTTTTTGGTGAGACATCGTATGTACTATGAAGAAATCCTGATCCTTCAATGTTTTATTGCAGATGGAATGTCTTTTTTTTTTCTTTTTTGAGTTCGGTCGTGGGGCCTGAACTCTGGGCCTGGGCGCTGTCCCTCAGGTCTTCAGCTCAAGGCTAGCGCTCTACCACTTGAGCCACAGCGCCACTTCCTGTTTTTTTCTTTTTGCTTATGTGGTGCTGAGGAATCGAACCCAGGGCTTCATGCATGCAAGGCAAGTGCTCTACCACTGAGCCACCTTCCCAGCCTTCTGGACGTCTTTCTTAAGCTAATAAATGACAGTGCTTCATAGACTACTGACCCTGCCTTCAGATGGACACGTTTTCAGAGAGATAGAAAGTTTACCTTTAGGATGGAAATCTGGGAAAAATCCTTTTCTTCAAAATAGGCATGTGTAATGAGTTGAAGTTTTGCTTGGAGTAAGCCATAGAGAGGCTTAAAGAAAAGAGAAAGGTGCTGTAAGGTTGATGGGAGTAAATAACCACAAAGAAGCCTCCTCACTTTATTCTGAGAAAATTATACCTGACTCTATCTCCAGCCCACCTGCTCATGGAGCTGAATGTGTGCACAACCAGACAGTGCCACCCTTACAGCCGAGGCACTGCGGGGCACAGGGCACACAGCTCGCACACATACACAGCTCTCAGCACCTGATTTCAATTATCCTCATTCTGCACGCATCTACCTGAATCATATAACTGAATGCTCACAATGAAGTGAAGTTCACTTTCTTTTCCTTTTCTCTGTGGAGCCTCAAAACAACTAGTCTGTGTCCGGTACCATGAGGATTTTTAGTATACTTGAACAAAGCTATTCCCTTAGTATCAAATCAATTCTACTTAGTACCCTCTTCTACGATTCGCATCGTTTTTTTTAGCCGCCTTTTTTAATGTTTTCTCATGTGTATGTCTTTTATAAGATGCAAAGATCACTGAAAAATTGTATTCATTACTGATTCTCATTACTCATTATTCATTACTCATCCAAAGACAGAAACAAAACAAAAATGACTGAGTGAAATCTATTAGCTCCCTCATTTTGGTCAAGTGTCAATTTCCTCCCCAACAGCTCCTCAAACCCCTTACTCTCCTCCCCGCCTCTCATGTCTTCCGTTGAGGAACAAATGAGAGTACAAGTGTGGGAACACAAAGGAAGCAAAAAGGCAAGCACACAAGTAGTAAGCCCTGACTAATTTCAACAAGTGGCTCTCATAAATCCCTTCTAGCTGGGTGCCGGTGGCTCACTGTTGTAATCCTAGCTACTCAGGAAGCTGAGATCTGAGGATCATGGTCCAAAGCCAACCCAGGCAGAAAAGTCCATGAGACTCTTATCTCCAATTAAACCACCAGAAAACCAGAAGTGGTGCTGTGGCTCAAGTGGTACAGCACTAGCCTTGAGATGAAGAGCTGAAAGACAGCGTCCAGGCCCAGAGTTGAAGCCACATGACTAACCAAAAATAAATAAATAAAATAAATCCCTTCTATGCTCATGCCTCATCCTCAATGAGACTCTACCATGAATGTCAACACATCTGCACACAAGTTATGAGCCTCTTACCAGCTTGCTTAAAACACACACACTTTTCTGAACCGTCTCTCTGGTGATGTCGGCTTGCCTTACTTTCAATGCCTATTATGAAAAATAGTTATTATCAGAAGTATTCCACAGCACTATTCACAAAGTACTTCCAACAGGAAAACAATAAATAGAAGCAATTTCTTGCATCCAGTTAAATACGTAAGCTTGCTTATTGAGAAAGTCAAAACACTTACTGAATGCTATGACCATGCTGTTGGCTGCAATTTTCAGAACCTACTGTGGTTCTGGGAGCTGCCCAATGCAGGAATAGTATTTTATTTAAACCCTACTGAGTTTAATCAATCTATGGAATTTTCTATTGGTCCAGGTGCTAAAGGCCTGGTCACCAGCCTATGGAGCTACTGGAAGGTAATGAACCTTTAGGAGGTAGGGCCTAGAGTGCGGAAGTGAGGTCAGTGGAGGATCTGAAGTATGGTCAGCAGGGATGTGACCTACCAGGCAAAAGTGATGCCAGTGGGGGTAGGAAATGAGGTCAGAGGACCTGGTCCCTTACAGGAGCTCTTGGAACTATGTCCCTTCCCACCCATCTCTCTGCTTCTTGGCCCTCATTAGATTGGCAGCTCCACATGCTCTGCTTCAACACAATGGGGTCAAGTGATTATGGGCTACAACCTCTGAAATCACTGAACCAAAATAAACCTTTCCTTCTTATACACTGATTATCTCAGTATTCTGTTACAGTAATGGAAAGCTAACAATAGCATCAAACACTAGAAACAGAAAATTTAAAGAATTATGAAACTTAACTATAATACTTCAGTGAAAAATGGATAATCTGGTATCATGATCTGACAATGGTGTATACAAAACATACAACAGCATAATTGTAACCACCTTTGCCAGTTTATAAAGACACTGGTAATAAATTGGTACTATTGGAGTAATAGTTTTATAAAGTATTTATAAAGTCTAAGCATCTGGGAGGAGGACTGAAGTATGCTACACACATACACTCATATCCACCCGAAAACAGTATAGTGAAACCCACTAAATTCTGTCTGAAAAGGAGAGCAGGAGACGGATTGTGGGAATGTAATCGAGGAGGATTGTAGGAATAGAGGGTGAATTTGTTCCACATTTACTCAGCACACTGAGACTCCCTTGCACTGTTAATGTGTGCTGACAAACCAATAAAAAGCAACCCTGAGCTGGGTGCTGGTGGCTCATGCCTGTAATCCTAGCAACTCAGGAGGCTGAGATCTGAGGATCACAGTTCAAAGCAGCTAGGGCAGCAAAGTCCATGAGATTCTTATCTCCAATAAACCACCAGAACACCAGAAGTGGTGCTGTGGCTCAAGTAGTTGACCCTTGAGCTGAAGAGCTCAGGAATAGCACCCGGGTTCAGAGTTTAAGCCCCATGACCAACAACAACAACAACAAAAAACAACCCTGAAACATCCAGGTATCACATGGAAGATAAAGTCTGTGTTCAGCATCTGTTCTGTTGCTGCTGACCACAACCACTGTACCTTGGCTTCAATTTGTCGATAGCAGGAGACGCCGTACACCGTGGTTCCACTTCCATTTCTGGGTGGCAAGTGAAAGAACACAGTATCTAAAAGACACATGGGAAGTAAAAGTCCTAAGGTGGGTTACCTTATTTGTAAACACAAATCTTCAAAATGCAGTCACTAACACAAAGTGGTGAGACAACAGGGACCCATGCCATACTTATTGCAACCTCCCAGAATTCCACACAGTGCCTTGAGAGTATACTCTTCACAAAACGCTCTGTAGAGAGACTGCTCTAGATTAAAAGCAAGAAGAGAGCTGGGCACTACTGGCTCATATCTGTAATCCTACTTACTAAGGAGCTGAAATCTGAGGACTGCGGTACAAAGCCAGCTTAGGCAGAAAAGTCCATGAGACTCTTTTTTAAAAAAATTATTTTCTTATTTTTTTGGGGGGGTCCGGTCGTGGGGCCTGAACTCTGGGCCTGGGCACTGTCCCTCAGCTCTTCAGCTCAAGGCTAGCACTCTACCACTTGAGCCACAGCGCCACTTCCGGCTTTTTTCTTTTTGCTTATATGGTGCTGAGGAATTGGTCCCAGGGCCTTAGGCATGCAAGGCAAGCGCTCTACCACTGAGCCACCTTCCCAGCCCCCATGAGACTCTTATCTCTAATTAATCATCAAAAAGCTAGAAGTGCTGTGACTCAAGTGGTAGAGCACTAGCCTTGAGCAAAAAAGCCCAGGGAGGGCTGGGAAGGTGGCTCAGTGGTAGAGCACTTGCCTTGTATGTCTGAGGCCCTAGGTTCAATTCCTCAGTACCACATAAGCAAAAAAAGAAAAAGCCGGAAGTGGCGCTGTGGCTCAAGTGGTAGAGCACTAGCCTTGAGCTTAAAAGCTGAGGAACAGTGCCCAGGCTCAGAGTTCAGGCCCCATGACCGGACCCCACCCCCTCCCAAAAAAAAGCCCAGGGACAGTGCCCAGGACCTGAGTTCAAGCCCAGAATAAATTAACAAAGAAACACAAGAAACAAATAATAAAAACCAATGGCAAAGTGTGAATCTTGAGTTGATCCAAGAAATTTTGGGGGCAACTGGGGAAATTTGAACAAAGATGGGATGTGAGACAGTACTGTAGAATTACTGTCAAATCATTTAGCCATGATGATGAAATTAGATGTTATGCTGAGGAGTGACCTTATTCTTAGATTATGTAGAATTAAAAATTTAGAGGTCAAGTGTCTGTTGCTGTTTGCAATTGACTTTAAAATAGTAAATATATGGGCTGGGAAGGTGGCTCAGTGGTAGAGCGCTTGCCTTGCATGCATGAGGCCCCTGGGTTCGATTCCTTAGCACCACATAAGCAAAAGCCGGAAGTGGCTCTGTGGCTCAAGTGGTAGAGTGCTAGCCTTGAACTGAAGAGCTGAGGGACAGTGCCCAGGCCCAGAGTTCAGGCCCCACGACCGGACCAAAAATAAATAAATAAATAAAATAGTAAATACAGAACTGTATAGATGGCCTGGGGGCATAGCTCAAGTGGTAGAGCTCCTGCCAAGCAAGCAAAAGCCCCCGAGTTCAAACCCCAGTACCACCAAAACAAAAATACAACTGTACATAGAACACAAATATATGATTGTAAAGTATTTCCTATAATCCTAATTCAACTTTTTCACATATTTGAAAAGTTCTACAATAAAAAACTAAAAAGATAAAAGATATCTGAGATTATAAATCCTGTACATAAAGGTACACATTTGATTCATTTAATAAGGAAATGATTAAATACTTTATCAGGAAAACAAGTAATCAAACCAAGCTTAATCTGGTATTTTGGGTGAGCCTCCAACACCATGGTAAAATTGTGTCTTTCATTCCTAGGGTGGTGGGAGACGGGGTACTGAGCTTACCTTTGCTCTCCATGCAAGCATGCAATCTAGTGGGCAGGTCACTGGGGCAGCAACGGCGACAGCAGACCCTGGCTGTTCCCAGGTAGGAAATGAAGAGTGAACCTAACACTGGAGCTTCAAGCATGTGTGGCTGGTGCATGTAACCCATGGAAAGAAGCCCCATGTATGCTGGCTAGTCACTTGCCTTGCCAAGGATCAACAGCACGGCCCATGTAAGCCTGGTGGGTTCTGTAGTATATGACGAGTTATCTCCAAACAATACATATAGATTTCCTAAGTCATCTAGGCCCAAAGATTTTCATTTACCTTAGTTTTTAAAATCTTTGAGATGTCTTGGCGCCTACTCATTGCTCAAGTGTGGCTGCATCACATACCTTCCTGGTAGTTGTGCGCACCGTCAGGTAGGGCAAGAAAAGGCAGGTACTTCCATTCTTCAGGTAGAGTGTGACTGTCATGCTCACCTCCTGGAACCAGGGGTGGGTAGGAGAACTCAACCTAAAATGGTAATAGATGGTAATTAGGTGACTGGGCAAAGGATGCATTTTATCCAGAGAGGCACCAATGTTTTTGACCCCCAGTGACTGCAGTGGGGAAAAGCCACACATCTGTCAGTGTGTTTGGATTATCTGTAAACTCACACACAGAAGAGGAAAAGGTATAAAAGAAAAAAAATTTGCTGGGCTTCCCACTTTTTTGGTTTAGGGTCTCTAATTAGAATTCAAATGCTGATGTTCATAAAATTATTTTAAACGGAAGTTATGTGAAAGTACTACATATACTCCAAGAATTCTATGAGTAAAGTGAAGGCTATTCTAGGCTGACTTGAGCCCACAGTGTTTAAAACATGGTTTCTTTAGGAAAATGTGGTCAGAATTTCAAACAGCCAATGTTTGGAACACAACCCATTCACGCTGTAGTCTGCCTAGTACTGTGTGTGTCTTTTGGTGGAGATGCCAATTGTCAAAGTTCCCAAATTAGCAAATCAAGGTCAAAGTAGGTACAGAAACATCTGTGTGTGTGTGTGTATATATATATATATATATATACACACACACACACACACACACACACACACAGAACCATTTTAATGGCTACTTAGCATTATTTCCTTGTTTAGCCTATTAAAAATAATTTTTAATAAATTATCAGGATTATTCAGATGTATAATGAAAAGTCATACATTTAGGCTTTGTGCCTGGTTCCTAAGATGAGACCCCTGGGTGCCATTCATTAATTAGAGTAATTAAAGCAACTAAGTAATTATGGTCATTAAGGTACCTCCTGGAGGGGCCCCTAGGCAGCTCAGGGTAGGACTGGTCACCAGAAAGACCACACCTTGATTAGAAAACCAGCTTTTAGGCCCATGCCTGGATCTCTGGGGGCAGAAAAGGACTAGAGATTGTGGTCATCAGTGATTGTGACTATGTAATCTTTAAATCTCCTAAAAATGGGGTTTAGGAAGTTCCCAAGTTGTCCAGACCCAAAGGTGCTGGGAGTAGGCAGGCCTGTGCTCTTCTTCTTCTTCTTCTTTTTTTTGTCAGTAGTGGGGCCTGAACTCTGGGCCTGAGCTCTGTCTCTCAGCTCTTCAGCTCAAGGTTAGCACTCTTAACACTTGAGCCACAGCTCTGTTTCCGGCTTTTTCTGCTTATGTAGTGTTGAGGAATTGAACCCAGGGCCTCATGTATGCAAGGCAAACACTCTACCACTGAGCCACCTTCCCAGCCTGTGTACTCTTCTTCATACCATGCCCTATGTACATCTTCACCTGCCACCCCCAAGTTGAAGGTCATGGGAACCCTGAATTTGTAGCTAAGTCTGTCAGGAGCGGGGGGGGGGGGGGGAAGGAGGGGGGAGAGCAGAGGGCCCTGGGACAAGTAGCTGGCAGCTAAAGTGAGGACAGACTAGGAACTGGGTACTTAAATCTATTGAGTTTAAAGCCAACTTTGTATAGGCAATGTCAGAATGGGTCTGAATTGTTAGAATCAAAGATCTAACATGGGGACGACCAGATTGATGGCATTTGAAAGTATTAAATGGCACATTTTTCATATTTTGAATATCAGCCACTCTATGTTTCTATAGATCAAACAATGGCATAGAAACAAGAGGAATGCTCAGAAAATTACTTGATATTCTTAGTAAACAAACTTGGTTGAAACAGAAGGCAATTTCAACAACAATGCAAATTAAGCTAACCAGAAAGTGAAGGTAGGTATGGTATGGTGGGCGGCCTTAAAGCACACCCCCAAGGGAAATCATGGCCACTGCAGCTTGCACAGGTCTATACAGCTGGAATTGCCACAGAGGCATCTGTGAGAATGTGGACAAAACTAACAAGGTGCCTAGAGACCAACAGCATTTTTTGGTGCCAATCCTGGGACTTGAACTCAGGGCTTGGGTGCTGACCCTGAGCTTTTTTACTCAAGGAAGCACAATACCACTTGAGCCATAGCTCCATTTCCAGCTTTTTGTTGGCTAATCAGAGATTAAGAGTCTCATAGACTTTGCTGCCCAGGTTGACTTTGAATATGATTCCCAGATCTCGGCCTCCTAAGTAGCTAGGATTACAGGTGTAGCCACCAGTATCCAGCTGAGACTAAGAACATTTATACTAATTAGTGTCCAATCTGGAGTGTGTGTGTGTGTGGGGGGGTGGTACTAAAGATGCTCTTCCATTTAAATCAAGTTAAATTTGGAAAATTGAAAGATGGCAGCTGGCAGGATATTGTGTCAGGTCTTAAATGTCCTTCACAGGATAATGTTGATGCAAGTTTTAAGTGCCTCTCTATTAAATAACCAATACTCATGTGACCCAATCTACCTCAATTACAATTACTTTACATGCTTCCGTGCTAACAGAGAGAGAAGAGGGAAAGAACAAGGCTTGACTTCCAGTAAGTGAAAGCTGAACAGGGATGCTCTACTCACAAGGAATAAAGGGCAGTTTTTTCTAAATGTGGAATAAGCTGTATAAGAAAGCATGACCTGTTTGTCCAGAAGCAGTAGAAATTACTCTATCACCTGCTTTGTTCATTCCTAAGACAAGTCAGATTCTACTGCTGTGTCCTCAGGAGGGAAGACTAAGGAAAACACACTGGAAAAGTACAAAAACAAAACCCAGTGCCCTAGGATAAGCTCTGAGTACTTCAGAAGCACACAGTGTCTACATTCCATCACCTCCACTGCCCTGTCCAGCACTACTGCAAACAGAAAGCACCGTGGTCACTGTTTTCAGAAAAATACTCACCAGCGGTTCTGGCCCTCCACTCCAGTCTAGGAAACTCAGAGACTGGGTAGCTATCCTTCTTCTCTCAATAATCCTAACATTCAGGCACCAAAGTTGTGGCCAGGTCCCAATGTTTAAAGCTTTGGAGCTCATGCGAGTCCCTGGGTTCCATCCTCAGCATTACCAAACTTCCCCCAAAAGGAGAAATCAAGAACACCTTAGAGTTCTGAGGATGTAGCTTACTGGTAGAGTGCTTGCCTAGCATGCATGAAGCCCTGGGTTCAATTCCTCAGTAACACATAAACAGAAAAAGCCCAAAGTGGCACTGTGGCTCTACTGGTACAGTGCTAGCCTTGAGCAAAAGAAGCTCAGGGGCAGTGCCCAGGATCTAAGTTTAAAACCCAGGGCTGGCAAAAACAAAAAAATAAAACAAACAAAAAAATGAAAGAAAGAAAAATCTTATAAGGCAAAGACATGTTTTCTTCATCAAATCTCTTAAAAAGTCAGCATTAAGCACTGTTCACAATAGCTAGGATATGGAAACAACCCAGATGCCCCACCACAGATGAATGGATCCAAAAACTGTGGTATCTATACAATGGAATATTATGCAGCCATTAGAAATGACAAAATAAAGGCATTTGTAGGGAAATGGATGGAGCTAGAAGGAATCATGTTGAGCAAGGTAAGCCAAGAGCAAAGAGACAAATGGTACATGGTCTCCCTGATAAGTGGATGTTAAATCCAAAATGTTAGGTGATATGACAAAATTAACAGGACTTAAGAAACAAAGAACTCCCACTCATCTGGTCGAACCACTACTAAATATCCCCATGCTGCTGATCACAAGTATGGTGTATATATGTACACGGTTATATGTTATAGACCGTGATAGACAATTTGCTCCAGGAAAGTTAGAATGAACTTGTGACTTTAAATAAGCATCATTATTCCACAATACTGTGAAATTTGGGAAATTATGTAATCACTTAATCACAATTAAAGAATAAAAACCTCTGGGAAGGTAGGGAGGGAAGGGATAGTAAGGGGAAAACAATGGAGGGGTAACAATGCTCAATAGGAAGTGTACTCATTACCTTACTCATGTAACTGTAACCCTCTGTATAGTATCTTTACAAAAAAAAAAGTCAGCATTATAGTAAGTTGGCTTTATTGCAGAGTTGGCAAAATCACTGCATTTGTCAATCACTGCTGATTTTTGAAATGGCTTGTACTTAACTTCTTAAACCTCCACACAATGGAGTACTGTATAGTTTCAGGAATGCGCTAAAGCCCCCCCCCCCAATAAAGTATAGGTTGCAGAGGCAAAAGGAGACTGCTGAGATTTCTCCATTAAAGGTAAGTTTGGTTTTGCAGAGTTACAGAAACAAGAATTTTAGTGTAAAGCATTTGCTTTTATGGGTAGAATGAAATGAATAAAAAGCTGTGGCTGTTACTTTTCTCCTAGGATCAAAGATACACTTTCTATTCCATAGTACTTCAGAAGGACTATTTGTATTATGAACAGGATGACAGATGACATGCATGTCAACTTGAATGTAGAAACGTATTTTCTGGGTAGTTGCTAGTGTCACTGTGGTGGCACCAGACCACAACAAGAGTGCCCTGAACAAAGACAGGACTCTAGTGCCAGTACCACCACCACCACAGGCAGCTAGGCAGCTGATACCACACTGTGGGGCCTCAAGGCACTCAGTGACCACCATCCCATTTGTAGTTTACTGCAGAGAGAGCTCCATGAAGTATGCATGCTTGTGGACATGGACCATGTGCACTAACACACCCCTTATAGCATGCTTGACATGGACCATGTACTCGCACACATCTCTTACAGAAGTCTTTATGGAATGAAAGCATGCTCCTTTTAAATAGTAAAGTTGAGAAACTCTATTACTATTTATGTCTGTTCATGATACAAATATACATGATAAGAAACCAAACACTGATTACAGGGATTTAGTATTCACTAAACCATCAGGATCTATAAATGTACAGTTCAAAAGAATCAAAAATGCCCTCAGATAGAGTTAGTATACTATGCATTTCAGAGCAACAATTTACAGTAATAGTAGATTTGTATTTAGGGCACTTATAACAGCTCCATATATATTTAACAAGGCTTCACCCTCCCACCTGCCTACTATGCGGGGCATGGAACCCAGTGTCTTGCACATGCTAGGCAAGTGTTCTACCACTGAGCTACATCCCTGACCTTGATATTTTTTTTTAAACAAGACCTCATAATGTA